AGCAGTCCCTAGAGAGACTCGAGCTGTTTAGGACAAGCTTGAACGAGACGAGTGCTTGCCCAGAGATGATATAAAGGGCATGGAGTGGGTACTGCACAACGGTTCTCCTGCAAGGCTGCTGAAAGCGAGGAGGAGATCAGCGTGCCGTTTAGGACAACTTAAATGCATCAGAAAAAAATCTGTCATGTTCTTCATGATGCTTAGAACAGCTGCTTCCCAAAACTGTGCAATGGTGCCTAATTGGTGTGGTTTTAAAGACAAAGGTTGGACATATAAAATTAATTTAGCTTTTTATGTATAAGCCTACATGTTGTATTAAGGTTTCAATATATGTATGTATTTACACTTACGGTTTGTGAGTAAGAGACACCCTAAACATATGGCCAGTGCAATATCTACTTTTTATGAATTAATGCCATGCATAAGGTGTGCTGTTTCAGTGCAACCCATATATTAATTATTCTTGTATCTATCTTGTCAATTTTATTTATTTAGCCTTCCTATAGCTCAAAATTAGTGCAATCAAGTGCATTTCTATATGACAAAGATTAAATATTATGTTTGTTTACCGCATTTGCAACGAATGCAATAACATCTATTAATTGTCACACCTGTTTGCCGGAGTGCCTATGGTAGCCACCAGAGGGCAATCCTTCCATCTTTGTTATTTCATCATGGACTGCATTTCCCACAATCCATTGCCCGGACTCATTGTGTCTGATTACCTTCAGGTGTTTCTCATTTACCTCATTAACTCTGTGTGTTCGCTCTCCCTTTGTGAAGTCTTGTATGTTGTTACACTGCATTTCTATTCTGGTTCCCTATGTCTTGGTTTTTGACTCTCTGCCTGCTTTCCTGGATTTGCTTGTGTTTCAGACTCCTGTGGTTTTGACCCGTTGCCTTCATTTTGGATTACAATTGTGGATGACCCTTAATAAACCTGGATCTTCTTTTTTCATTCATTTACTCCAGTTTAAGGCCCTCACCTGAGCTCGTGGGCGAATAGGCTGGATTTGTCCAGTCCTGACCATGCACTGCAGCACTGTGGGTAATGTCAGTGAAGATGAGAGAGAACCAGGCCTGGGACATGTATGTTGCAGTTGTGTTTATGTTTGTGCAGCAGTAGTCTGTAAAAGGGCTGACACCTATTTCCGTTGTTTATTTTAGCATTACATTTATAGTAAACATCTGCCGGTTCCTGTCTTGAACAGTGTTACATGAACATGTACTTTAGATAGGTTACGCAGTTGTCCGAGTTCTGTCACTTCAGTCAGGTTTTATTAGTTTGAAGACAGCAGGTGTCCTTTCCGCAGATCTGACCCACATCAGCAGCTAAAGTGTGGCCCAGGTTAGTATGTGTTTTCCAGCCGAAAACTGGCCCGCATCCTTCTAGTCAAAACTGAATCAAAACAGTGCCATGAAATCCAACCAGAAGTGAGCCACATTATAAAAACAGATGTGGCTCATGAATGAAGTGTGCTGATATTGGTAGTAATGTTGAAAGATTTAAATGCATCAATAAATGTTCAATAATTGCTCACTCAAAAAACAAAAAAAAGTAAATGCACATAAGGCAGTTTTTAAATAACGTGTACATATAATTATAAAATTATCTTTATACTTTGTTTTCATCGCAGATTTATTTAAACACACTAATTAAGACGTCACTAACAGGTTAAGTAAAATATAATGGACATATACACTTCCAGTCAACAGTTTTTGAACAGTAAGATTTTTAATGTTGGTAACTAACTATCTTCTGCTCACCAAGCCTGCATTTATTTCATCCAAAATACAGCAAAAGCAGTAATGTTGTGAAATATCTTTACTATTTAAAATAATTGCTCTATATTTGAATATATTTTTGTCACGCTACGGTGAGATACACGCACGAAGAAGGCGAAGCTAGATGCAAATAGTCTTTAATAATCCACAATAGGACAAACACAGGACGGACGGGCTGCACACGTAGGGACGAGGGAACACAGGACAGACTGAAGATACTTAACAAGACACACCTGAACCAAATGACAATTATCAGACATAGACGGAAAACTAGGTCACACAGAGCACATGGGGGAAGAAAACAACAAAACGTCCATGGGGACATTCTAAAACACTTAACGTGAAAAACGCTTAACGTGGCTTAACATATGTAAACAACGACCATGGAAAACCACATTTCTGTCAAACCTTACTTGTAATAAACACTAACTACTGTCAAAAGAACTAGCCCTTACTCCACAGATAAAGTGAAAAATGTCACATTAAGCGTTTTCTCCCCCATAGAAGTCCATTATAAGGAAACAGCTTAACGTGGTTTCCCTGGTCGGTGTTTAGGAACGTTAAGCCACGTTAAGCGTTTTTCACGTTAAGCGTTTTAGAATGTCCCGTCCATGCATGGGTGTGACAATTTTAAAATGTAATTTATTGCTGTGATCAAAGTTGAATTTTTAGCATCATTACTCCAGTCACATGATACTTTGGAAATCATTATAATATGCAATTGAATTGAAAAAAAATAAAAAAAAGTGGTTTGGCGCAGCTCGTCAGTGAACAACGGCTCTGTGTAGTTAATGCTGCTCAATGTGAAAGCACGCACGTGATGGAGATTTACCGCTCATTAAAGAACCGGCTTTACTGATAAGATGCGCGTTGAATATCGCATGCGATTTATCGTGCAGCCCTAATAATTATTTATCTATTATGTTGAAAAAAGCAGAGTATAATTTTTTTCAGGATTCTTTGATGAATAGAAAGTTCAGAAGAACAGCATTTATCTGAAATAGAAATCATTTTTCT